CACCTTTCCTGGCTCCATCCCCGCCTCTTCGACCTGTTTGTTTCCTCTCCACCTATCCTCTCCTCTCCTCTTCTATCCGCCTCCCACTCTCTCCCTATTTATTTCAAAACCCTCTTCCCCTCCCCCTTTTCTGATGAAGGGTCTAGGCCCGAAACGTCAGCCTCAGTTCATATTATGTGCTAGGTTAGAGACAAATAAACTGCAGATGCTGGAATCCGAGGTAGACAAACAGGAGGCTGGAAGAACACAGAAAGTCAGGCAGCATCTGGAGAAAAAGACAAGTCAACGTTCTGGGTATCGCCCTTCTTCAGGGATGTGAGGGTAGGGGGAGCTGCAGATAAAGAGGGGTAATGGAATGGTGGTGATAGGTGGACACTGGTATTAGGTACGACCTGGTTGGTCGATGGGAGGGATGAATCCAGTTGGTGGCTGGAAGGGAGGGTCAGTAGGTGGAATGGAAGCGAGGAAATGGATCTGGAAAGGGAGCTGGGGGATGGTGGCAAGGTTATTTGAAATTAGAGAACTCAACATTGAGCCCGTCAGGCTGCAGGGTGCCCAGATGGAAGATGAGGTGTTGTTCCTCAAATTTGCATTCTGAGTTGCTGAGACACTGGAGGAGGCTGAGGACGGACATGTGGGAGGGGTAGTTGGGGTGGGGAGTTGAAATGGGCACTGACTGGAAGGTTAGGCTGGCCATAATGGGCCAAGTGAAGATGCTTCGCAAAATGGTCACCCAGTTCACATTTGGTCTCACCGATGTAGAGAAGACCACATCGGGAGTACCGGATGCAATACACTAGGTTGGAGGAGATGCAGGTGAAGCTCTGCCTCACTTGGAAGGACTGTTTAGGGCCTTGTATGAGGGTGAGGGAGGAGGTGTGTGGGCTGGTGTTGCATCTTTTACAGTTACAGGGGAAGGTATCAGGCAGGTTGAAGTGGTTGGTGGGGAGTGTGGCGCAACCCACTCCAACCTCTCTGAATGTGCAGCACTCCACTCTCTCCACACCAATCCCTGTTTCACTGTCAAACCCGCTGACAAAGGTAGGGCGGTGCTAGTCTGGAAGATGGACCTCAAGTCGCAGAGGCCAAATGCCAACTCTCCAACACCATGTCCTATCTCTCCCTTGACCACGACCACACCATGGCCCATCAAGCCACTGTCTCCCACACTATCCATGACCTCATCTCTTCCAGTTACCTCCCCTCCACTACCTCCAACCTTATAGTCCCCCAGCCCTGCACTGCCCGGTTCTACCATGTTCCCCAAGATCCACAAGCCCAACTACCCCAGCCGGCCCATCGTCTCTGCATGCTCCTGCCCCACAGAACTCATCGCTTCCTAACTCGACTCCATTCTCTCCTCATCCAGGCACTTGTCACCTACACCTGGGAGCAAACCACACAGTCCACCTCTTTGGAAACTTCCAGTTCCCTGGCCTCCAGCACTTCATCTTTTTTATGGACGTGCAATCCCAATACACGTCCATATCCCACAAGGATGGTCTACAGGCCCTCAGTTTTTTCTTCTCCAACAGACCCATCCAGATCCCCCCACACCAATACCCTCCGCTTACGACTCGCCGGACTATCCCTCAACTTCCAACTTTTCCTTCAAATCTTCCCACTTTCTCCAAATGCAGTTATACCTGCCTGTATGTCGGTTATGTCAAACAGTCTCTCTTCAGTACGTACACCGGTACTGTTCCCCAACTCTTCCACCGTTACATCGATGACTGCACCGGTGCTGCATCCTGCACCCAGGGTGAGCTGGAGCAGTTCGTCGACTTCACTAACAACTTCCACCCCACCCTCAAATTCACTTGGTCTATCTCAGACACTTCCCTCCCCTTTCTTAACCTCCATTTCTGGCGACAGTTTACAGACTGACATTTACTGTAAACCCACAGACTCCTATAGATAGCTATCGAGGCTACACCTCATCCCACCCTGTATCTTGCAAACACTCCATTCAGTTTTCCGAATTCCACCGTCTCCACCCCATCTGCTCTGATGAGGAGACATTCCGTTCCCAAGCATCCCGGATGTCCGTCTTTTTCAAACAATGCTCTTTTTCCCCCACTGTCATCCAGACAGCCCTTCACCAGGCCTCCTCCATTCCCCACTCCACAGTTCTTAACCACCACCCCCGCTCCAAACATAATAAAGGCAGGGTCCCCATTGTCCTCACTTTCCACTCCACCAGCCTGCACATCCAACGTATCATCCTCAAACACTTCCACCAACTACAATTGGACCCTACCACCCAGAACATCTTCTACTCCCTGCCCCTCTCTGCCCTCCAAAAGGACCATTCCATTTGCCACTCCTTAGTTCATACCACATTCCCCACCAACCAGTCCAACCCGCCCACTACCTTACCCTGTAACTGTAAAAGTTGCAATACCTGCCCACAGGTCACCTCCCTCACCTCCATCCAGACCCTTAAACCAGTTCTTCCAGGTGAGATAGAGTTTTATCTGCATCTCTTCCAACCTAGTCTATTGCATCCGGTGCTCCCGATGTGGTCTTCTCTATATCAGTCAGTCCAAACGTATACTGGGTGATCATTTTGTCAAGCATCTTCACCTGGTTCGTTATGGCCAGCCTAATCTCCCAGTCACCGCCCATTTCAACTCCACCACAGCACCCCCCCCCCCTCCCGCCCCCCCCACCCCCCCCCCCCACCTCCCGCCCCCCCAGCCCCCCCTCCAACATGTCCATCCTCGGCATCCTCCGTGTTGCAGCGACTTGGCACGCAAATTTGAGGAACAACACCTTATCTTCGCTCTAAGTACCCTACAGCCCGGAGGGCTTAATATTAAGTTCTCTAATTTCAAATAACCTTGCCACCCATCCCCTGGCTGCCTTTCTAGCCCCACTTCCTTCCATTCCACCTTCTGGCCCTCCCTTCCAGCCACCAACTAGATTCAACCCTCCCATCGACCAACCAGATTGTACCTACTACCAGTGTCCACCTATCACCACCATTCCGCTACCCCCTCCCCACCCCCATTATCTGCAGCTCCCCCTATCCCCACATTCAGTCCTGAAGAAGGAAAATACCCAAAATGTGACTTTTCCTTTCTTCCAGATTCTGCCTGGCTTACTGTTTTCTTCCAGCCTCCTGTGTGTCTACATATTATGCACTGCTTGGTGATGTTTGCATCCTAAAATCAAATCAGCCTACTTTCCTGACTGTTCAAAGATTAAATATTTTGATACAAGATATAAAATGAAACAAAGGCAAGTAGTTTGAGTATGTCATTACAACAATAGAATTTATTTCTGCAATGTAGATTTTTTTTCTGCTAATTGCAGATAATGACTTCTGCACACTAGTGTGGCATTTTGTGCCATCCCTCATGTTCGCTGTTGAGAGATGTGTATGCAATTGGCAGGAGGCTGACTGGGGAACACCCATCCCCTTCCTGCCTCCATCCTGATTAAATCTGTTGCAGGTAGGCCCAGTTAAGGGCCTAATTCTACCACAGCTGGTACTGACTCAGCAATAGATAACGTCTAATCATGAAAGGAGCATGACAGGCAAACTCTGGCAGGTTTCTGGCCATCCAGGGTGATGGCAGGAGAATCCATTGTTCAAAGGCATGCTGATCAGGGTCCTAGCACTGGGAGCATTTGGCAGGGAGGTGGTGGTAGAACAAGCACATTTTGGTGAAATGAAAATAATTTACATAACAGGCAATTGGGCCCGGGCTGCAAATGCTGACTTTGCCAGCAAAGCCATGTCCCATGGAAGAATGAAAACAAAAACTAAGAGCTTGGACAACTATCTACTTTCATACTTTTGTCAGTGTTCCTCTGTAGCTAGTTGCTAATTGACACTATAAGAGTTACATAGATTGTTCAGTTTTAATTTTTACATGAAATTAAACCTGGCATGCATAATTGCCAAGTCCTTCAGCTTAGCAGCTTGGTTTCCACCATTTGGCGGGAGGATTAATATTCTCCTGATTGATCATTTTTGTCCCAATTCCAAGAACTTGGCAATTTAATTTCAGGTAAAGGACTTCTTCTGCCATGATTCTAAAGTTCACTGAATTTTGAAGGTCAAAATTGACCAAGTTTTTTTCATATTATTGTAATTTATCTCAAGTATTGTTCCTTATCCATACTCTGCTCTTTCATTAATGCTGTCATAGTATGTTTTAAATTAAACTGCAGCTGTGCCGTTAATATATGAGCATGACTTTCAAAAAAGGTTTGTTGTTCAAACTAATAAAACATCTTTGGACCCCTGTGACAATGATCTAATATGCTTCACGTGCTAAACTAGAACTAAGAGTGGAGAGAAAATTTGTGATGCAGGGTCATGTAATTTATTAACTGCCATCTAATTATATTAGATAAACAGTCTAACTTTTAAACTAATGACTTATGAAGGCATTCAGATGCAAAATGTGATTGTTCTTGTTTTGGACATTCTATAAAACTGTACAACTCACCTTTTAATTACTTGGTCTTGTATCCATTGGTTTAAAACAAGTCTTTAAATGTGCTTAGAAATCTCCTAAAATATCAGAAGAAGAGGAAGAAGTATCTGACAAGAAACCAGATCCACTTCATCAGCTTATACTTCACTTCAGCCGTAGTGCCCTCACTGAAAGAAGGTAAAATCAGCATTTTTGTGTAAATTATTGCTGCCAATCAAATATTACTTGCTAAATCACTGGGTAAGAATGAAGTAAATGGGGAGTATTCTTTGTTTTGCAAATGTACTAAATCATCAGTCGTATTAGACAAGCCACAGTTGCTCCAGATTGTAAAGGGTTCAAAACCTTTTGTTCTCTGGACTCCTTTACAAGTTGTTCCATGACAGTTTAAGCTTACTTGTTGAGGTTCCTAGTTTGTTCAGAGCAGTACCTTTCCAGCCTTTGTTCCAGAATTGAATGTTGTAAAACAGAAGAAAACTGTAAACAGTCCAAATCCACACTTTGAAAGCTTTATTTCAAATGATGACAGTCTGTAAAATTCACGCTCCACTGATTACTAGCTCCCTATATTTATATAACCCACACACAACCAATTAACCCTTAATTAACATATCCATCTCTTTTTCCTTCACTCCATTTGGGCTCAGGCATTCCTTCATATGATATAAGGTGAACTCTTGACTGGACATACCTAGATCCAGAAATTCCTCTGAATAAGTAGTGATGCTCACTTGCTAATGGTTTTATTTCAGGTTTTGAACCTGCTTCAGGATGTACCCAAACCACTTCAAAAATCTGTGTTACTGGAACAGTTCTTAAGACAAGCAAAGATGTAGACATCTAATCATCATGAGGGTAGAAATGGAGAGATGCTTAAAATCTTATACCAGCTATTGTTAGGATGAAGACAATTAGCACTTTGTACTGAAAGTATTCTTTATCTTAAAGCTTCACATTCATTGCCAGAGTTTATCCTGATCAAAAAACAGAGCAAACCATAGTTGATGGTTGACCATTTAAAAAACATTGACCCCAAATTGCATTTTGTACAATTGGATTGCTTTTGTCAGGAATTTTAGGTAAACAAAATAAAAATAAAAACTTCAATTCTCCAGATTAAATGCTTTCAAATCACCTTTCGCAGTGCTATTGAAGATGACCCTTTGTACCTCGCGTATGCAGACATGATGGCAAAGGTAAGTGAGCTGGAGAATGGTGCAGGGCAAGGCGCAAAGTAATTATTTCCTTTTTTCCCCTAGGGCTTCCTTTTGAGAGCTATGTTTTGATTTCATGGGCTACCTTTTGGTCTTAGGGGTGACCTTTCATTCTCATTAACCCTTTAATTAGATGATGCAGTCACACAGTAACATTTCCTTCTGTATTTTTGTTGATATATATGAAACAGGCAGAATTGGAAGCATTCATCAATATCCTTGATAATTATCTATGCTATTAAATGCAAAGTCACAACACACAAAGAAGGCATTCATTTTCTATATGCAACAGTATTCGAATTGGCTCAAGAAAGTGAACATAGGTTAGCACAAGTTTTTTTCCAAAGGAGCTGACCTATGTCGCTACACAAAAAAAGCCAACATCCAAAAAATATCTTCCATAGACTGGTGAGGTCACAGCTTGTAATCCCAAACTAGAATATTTTAAACGGATAGTTACTACTCCTTTTACTGATCTCAGACTTCAATCTCAGATTTGGATTTAAAAATTGTTACAATGTTCACTGTAATAATATCCACTACACAGTTCCCCAAAGAATAGCTCCTGAACAAATGCAGCCTTAGGTAGGAGTATCACGTTTATTGGAAAGTACTTCATTACCTCGGTGCTTTCAAGTTTTTTTTAATCATTCCAACCCAGTGTAAATTTGTTGTCAGACTTGAAACTGCTGTCCCTTCTTTGCAGCTGTTTTCTCTCTCCCCTTCCCTTGGCAGCCTGCCTTATGTCTCACTTCACCACCATTACCATCACCACAACTCCTCCTTCCATCCTCCCAGCCCTTGCAGCCTGCATCACTGCCTTTTAAAGTCTCCCTTCCTCTCCCAATCAGACCCTCCCCCAGCTTGATGACCTCTGCTCGGCCAGTACCTATATATATATAGCTGCCCACCACTCTTACAACCACAGAGTGGTTTATCCTTGCATTTGCTGCTGAAAGATTCATTAGTTGACCCACAAACAGCAAACATGGGGAGAAACAATCTGTGATTGGAGGAGCAGCTTCCTTCCATTATACTTGTGGGGTGACTTTTCTCCAATTGGTTGACGTCAAGTGAATTTTCCAGAAAAAATCTGAGGGCTTTTGGAGGATTCACCCTCTGTCCTATATATTTTGAGCGTTAGGGAAGGGCAGATCACAGCACTGTGAGCATACTTGACCCCCTATCTTTGCTTCTGTAGGGTAGAATTGGTGAAGATTGTGAAGGAAATACTTCTTGTTCCTTGCAAATTTTGTTCTATGAAAGCATTAGGTGAGGCAATGGCCTGATGGTATTATCACTAGACTATTAAAACTTGTTTAACTCCCACCACAGCAGATGGTAGAATTTGAATTCAATAACAATCTGGAATTGAGAGTCTTATAATGACCAGGAATCTATCGTTGATTGTTGGAAAAACCCATCTGGTCCACTAATGCCCTTTAAGGAGGGAAATCTGCCATCCTTACCTGGTGTGGCCTACATGTAATTCCAGACCGGGCAATGTGGGTGACTCTTAACGCCTCTGGGCAATTAGGAATGGGCAATAAATGCTGGCTTAGCCAGTGATGCCGTCATCCCTCGAAATTAATTTAGAAAGTTACAATGCTTGACAAAAATGCTGGGTAAATCTCGATTATGAAAAAAGACCATGTGAGCCTAACATTTTCATCTCTGGTTCAATAATTAGAGCTGCCAAGTTGCTGAGGAAGAGGAGGAAGATGAAGAAAAAGAAAAATCCTTTGAAGTAAGTTGATTAAAGAAAGGTTTCAAAACTGGAGCTTAATTTATTCTGGAAAGTATAAAGTTGAATAAAATGGCATTCCTTCGTCATGAGGCTAATAATAGACATAAAATAAATAAAATTGCTGTAACTGTGTAACAACTTGTTTATTGAATATTCTAGTTAAATGGCTAATGAGATACTGAATCTCTTAGACAATGTCTGTTGTAATCCCTCAAAAACAGAGTGGCAAGAGCCTTTTTAACAGAGCAAGGCAGTTGTATTGCAGCTTTTGCACAGTTTGGGCTGACCAGGAGACTCTCCACCTCTCAATTGCCACCCTCCATAGGTGCATTGACAGGATATTCAGGCTGATACTCAAGCTATTTGGCCATATCATGAATTCATGTTTCTTGGCTGGCAAGTCCTAGAGAAGGACTTGGACTCAAACCCAGAGCTTCGAGGACAGAGGCATATGCGCTACCTGCTGTACCTCTCTAAGCTACCTATCTCTATAGTTACACTGACTTTTTATACAAAGCATCTATTAGAAAAAAATAGAGTGAAGGAATTGAATTCAGGTTGTTCCATAAAATATTACCTGTCACTTTAATATTAGTCAATTTGTGAGATTAATATGTTATATAACACATACATAGACATAACTAACTGCCTGTATCAGCTGATTTACAATTTCTTTTTCTACCTGGACCCAAGTAATGAACTTTTAAATTCCCACCTCCAGATCTGATTTTTTTTTTGTGAAACCCACAGTTATTCTCTATCTTTACAAGTTCCAGTTCAATTTGTAATGAACCAGATCGTGCCCCCTCAAAATATTTTAAGAAGGTAGCCTAGGCCCTTAACTTTTTCTTACTTTTGAAGGAAAATGTGAAGTGCCGTGTTCCAGATGCAGTGCGACTGGTCAAACTACTTGATGTTAAGCAAAACACAATTTATTTAAACACCGTAGTTAAAAATACAATCAAAGTGACAGGAATTTAGATGAACTTGACTCTATTGGAAAACTTAACCGAATAATAGATAATTAATAATTATTACTAATTAACTGTTCGAATATAGTAACATCCCATAAATATATCCCTTGGCAAAAAGGAAAATTCAGACACAGATTCTCACATGGAGTTCTCCAATCTAGGAGGAAAAAATAGTCAAGAGAAAATTCAGAGAGTGTAGCAGCTCGGAGACATTTAGAAAAGCTTCCAATTCTGTTGAGAACCCAACAACTTTTGTCGCTACTGATAAACCAAAACCCAGAAATCCTAATCTGTGAGAGCTGGTCACACCCATTCAGGGCATTTAAAAGAAAACACAAGGGCTCCCTAGCTGTTTACTCAAATGGCCTTAACTAGCCAACTCGTCACCTCTGCCCTACAACCTCTCTATAAGTAAAAGATCAAAATAACCTCACAGCATTGTCTCAAGTCATCACTTATTGAGGTAAATATTCACTTCCACTGTTCGCGAAATGAGGTGACATCAGATCAGCTTACATGCTATAGAAAGTTTCCACTGATACACTTCTCCTGATTAATGATTATGTTAAAGTTACTGGAATTGAAAATTTGAGAAGTGTGTACCTAAGCAGATAGTTAGATGTCACTCCATTTATACTATTTCCAAAATAGTTGAATTACTCCACGTTTCCTTGTGTACAGTTCTGCTCTGAACACTATCATGTGCATTATGGTCCCAAACTGCAGTAGAAAATGGAAAAGGTTCCAATTGAAGATAAAGATTTGCTAACTATTTTATATTTTACTGGTCACAATAAAAGTGATGCTGCAGACTTATTTGAAAAATAATGTTCTTCAAACTATCTTTTACAAAAATAAAACAGGTTATCAATGTAGTGTTGTATTGTCAAATGCAGCTCATTAACAGTTTTCATGTACTCCCATTACATGTTGCCCTGGCCACTTCTGTGGCTTGAGTGGATGATCAGAAGACTCCAAAATGCCTATTGAGCTCCTGAAACATTTTCTGGTTTGGCAAGTGTCATTTAGAGGCACTGCTTGAAGGGATTTGGTTCCTTATGCATTGATGCAATACGTACGAATGTATTGATTGTGGGTGGCATGGTGGCTCAGTGGTTAGCACTGCTGTGTCACAGTGCCAGGGATCCAGGTTTGATTCCAGCCGTGGGTGACTGCCTGTGTGGAGTTTGCATTTTCTCCTTGTGTCTGTTATTTTTTCTCTGGGTTCTCTGGTTTCCTCCCACAGTCCAAAGATATGCAGGTTAGGTGGATTGGCCATGCTAAATTGCCCATAATGTCCAGGGAAGTACATGCTAGGTGGATTAGCCAAGGGAGATACAGGGTTACAGGGATAGGGTACGGGGGTGCGAGTCTGGTCTGAATGGGATGCTCTTCGGAGGGTTGGTGTCGGCATGATGGGCTGAATGTTCTGCTTCCACACTGTAGGGGTTTTTTGATTCTACATTTTTCCTCAGCAATTGTTTCAGATAGAAGGAAGGTCTGAAAGGAATTGTGGAATTCCCTTTTTGTTTTATTTCTAAATCATATAATACCTCCATTTTACTTGGCATGGCATAAATATTTAAGTACAGATGATTCTTGGGTTGCGAATGAGTCCGATCAAAAGGCTGAACACCATGGAGGACAGTATAAAGTATCGGTTTGTAAGTACTGGAAACATTTATATGTAAGATTTTTAAAAATTACACCCTTGTATGGGATTGCATTCGTAAATATGTGCAATGGTAAGTGTGTGCCCTTGTAAGTCAGATGTTCATTAATTGAGGACCCACTATACTATTATTTTGTAGTGTTTCTGTTTTAGAGTATATTAAATCAAATTGTACTCTGAAATGTTCTGTATAAACAATGTATTCTAGATACATGAAATGATAACTGCATGGTTTCTCCATTAAAACTGTTTGCATTTTGTGTTCCACAAGGAAAAGGAAATGGAGAAACAGATGACGCTTTATCAACAGGCAAGACTTCACCAGCGAGCAGCAGCTGAAATGGTTTTGCAAGTGATTAGTGCCAGTAAAGGTACTGTACAGCCACCAGAATATTACACTGGGCTTGAGTATCCACTTCCCACCATTTGCTAAAAAATGTAGCCCAGTTATCTCCTCTATTGATGATTTTACTAAACCAGTTGAGAATATTCTGTACTTTGATTAGATTTTATAGCTAAAGTGCAAAAGTAGCCAAGTAGCACTTTGTGCCAACCTTGTGATTTAGTGTGTTACTTTATCCTACTATTCCTCGGTCTTGACATTTATATTAATATTTTAACTGTTCAACAGGTGTATTAGGCAAGATGGTGACAACAACTTTAAAGCTTGGTATTGCTATTCTGAATGGTGGTAATGCAGATGTCCAGCGGGTAAATGGGTTTACTTACCATTATAATACATGCATCAGCTTTACTTGACTAATGCATTAATCCTTTACAAGTTTTTTTTTTACTTTCAAACATACAGTATTCTTTTTCTTATGTATTTTTTAAAAAATTATTGTCAACTATACAACACTTATCCTCAAGCATGTTACACTGTGAAAGTTTGTAACAATCATTGTAAGAAATTATTAATGAAGTTTACTGAGCAACTTCTATAGAGATGACTTCATTTAATTGCTAATACTTCTACATAAATTTGATCCTAGCAAATACAAAAGTAATACATCTTCTATTCTTCAGATAATGTTGGACTATTTGAAGGAGAAGAAGGAAAGTGGTTTTTTCAGAAGTCTGTCTGGATTAATGCGCTTTTGCAGGTAAAAAAAAGTTTCAATAATCTGTATGCTGTTGGGTGGGTTTTTAAGCTCCCACCTTTGATATGTAGTCAGCTGTGCTGTTCTATGTATTGTCATGCTCATTCACACATTTCATAAGCCCATGTTAAGAGTTAAACGTGTTGGTATGATAGCAGAGGCCCAGGAAGGTCAGAATGGGTAAGAATACGAGGCCTGCACTCCCAAAGAGCATTGGTAAACTAGCTGGGTTTTTACAACAGTTTGATGCTGATGATTTTTTTTCTCTCTGTTTCAGCTTTAAAATGTTGAAACCACTGCAATCTGAACTCTCATGGTCTGCACTAATGGTCCAATGACATCTTCCTGTAACCAAATGCTTCATGCAATGGCAGTGTGCTCTTTTATGTTTAATGCTATGTTCAGCAAAACTGGAGGGTCCACTCCAACACACAAGCCTGGCCGCAAGAGATGGAGACCCTGCACTCTTAAGTCTCTAGTTGAGTCCAAAGTAATGCAAGGCGTTTATTTTAGCACCAGCTCGACGTAGTTGGCATAGGCGTTAGTCTGCCTTTGGACTCCACCCCAAATTTTCTGTCAGGATTTTCCCCCTTAGCTTTAATCTCTTTGAAAGTATCAACAAAGTGGTAACCTAAACAATACTGTACAACATTTCACAGCTTCATAATAGATTCAAGACTAAATCTGTACTTTCCTGATTTGAAATGGCTTTACCTTAACTCACTGACTGACTAACAACAAAGCCAATAGTCCAATAGGCTTTTCTTTCTAAGTAATGAGTCTAGTTCCTTCGAATTGTTACTAAGACTACATTCCAATCAAAGTTAAAAGTAAAAGGTAGGGGTGGAATTTTTTTTAGCATTTGAATAACATTAGCAATGGCAAGAAAGTTGGGAAATGTGGCATGATTGAAAAGATGAGATTTCATGTAGCCTAAATAAAAGTGTGTTTCTATAAGGCTCTCAAAAGTAAAAATGTCAGAGGTTTCCTTGGGGCTTCCATTGTTCCATTGCAGGACCAAAGCAGGAGAATACACACAGAAATGCAACGCATAGACACACATTATTTTACTTTAATTATACAGTCGCTTCTCACTAATACAGATATAATAGTGTCACTATTATGATGTTCATAGAAACCCAAAGTGTAGAAACAGGCCATTCGGCCCAATCCAGAGACCTTGGTAGATAATTTGGAAAACGTGGATTCAAATTTCACTACTTGAGAATTTCAATTCAGTTTAATAAAGTTCAGAAATGTTATAAAAATCTTAAAACTGATTGTAAAGCTGTTGGAATGATGTAAGTGGTAGCAGGAACTGCAGATGCTGGAGAATCTGAGATAACAAGGTGTAGAGCTGGATGAACACAGCAGGCCAAGCAGCAATAGAGGAGCAGGAAAGCTGATGTTTCGGGCCTAGACCTAGTATTCAAACAGTGTATTTACCATATTCACGAACAATAACTATGGATCAATGATTTTAGGGTTCTAGATTTTCTGAAGAAGGGCCTAGGCCCGAAATGTCAGCCTTCCTGCTCCTCTGATGCTGCTTGGCCTGCTGTGTTCATCCAGCTCTACACCTTGTTATCTCGGAATGATGTAAGTATTCGATTTGTATGTTAATAGCCTCAAGACAAGGAAACTTGCTGTCAGTCTATCTGTGTCAACAATGCGTTTGGCTTTTAAACAACTCCCAGATACTTACTCCCTGAGAACAAATAATATACAGGTTCACATCAGCCTGGTGTTAACTTATACAATGAAGACCAATAAAATGAGTTCTAGTGACCCAAAGGGATGTCCTTGTGGTTTGAGAAGGGTGGAAAACTTTTCTATTCTAAAACAGTCATCAAGTTATGACTCAGTACCATCTATTCAAGAACAGCTTGGGATGAGCCACAATAACTGGGTTTTCTGGCAACACAAACAGCTCACAAGATGTATTTTTTAAAAATCCTTTATTCAGGGTCCTTAGTATGATGAAAAGTTGCATATTACTGATGAAGCAGTCTTACTTACAGATTTCCTAAACCATCAGTTATGGTTGAGACAAATTTTGTACAAGTTGCATTTCTTTCCTTCTTGCTCTTTCAGCGTTCTTGACTTGAATGCTTTTGAGAGGAAAAACAAAGCAGAAGGTTTGGGAATGGTGACTGAAGATGGAACACGTAAGAATGGCATCTTTTATCTTTTCACTCCATTAGTAATCAAGGTTGTTTTGTACAAGTACATAGTTTTTAAACACTATGGGAATTTTCTTCCCAAGGCTAAGGCAAATTTGGAGGCAGATGTGCCAGCAGCTTCCAGCTAGCAGCCACCATTCTTGTTTGCTGGTATGTTACCACTTCCAGTCTATTTTCATGGAGGTGGCATCTGGAGGGATGTTGGCTGACTGCTCACCAGCAGTGGGCAGACAACTGAGGAACAACTTAGCGCACTGACCTCTACATTGCTGAGGCCAGACGCCAGCTTTCTGACACCTCCTCCTACCGCCCCCTTGATCATGACCCCACCCCCGAGCACCAAACCATCATCTCCCAAACCATCCACAACCTCATCATCTCAGGTGACCTCCCACCCACAGCCTCCAACCTCATCGTTCCCCAACCCCGCACCTGCCCGCTTCTATCTCCTTCCCAAAATCCACAAACCTGACTGCCCTGGTCGACCCATTGTCTCCGCCTGCTCCTGCCCCACCGAACTTATCTCCAACTATCTGGACTCCATTTTCTCCCCCTTGGTCCAGGAACTCCCTACCTACGTCCGTGACACCACCCACGCCCTCCACCTCCTCCAGACCTTCCAATTCCCCGGTCCCCAACACCTCATCTTTACCATGGACGTCCAGTCCTTATACACCTGCATTCCCTGTACAGATGGCCTAAAGGCCCTCCGCTTCTTCCTGTCCCGCAGGCCGCCTCCACTGACACCCTCATCCGCTTAGCCGAACTCGTCCTCACCCTCAACAACTTCTCTTTCAATTCCTCCCACTTCCTACAGACAAATGGGGTGGCCATGGGTACCCGCATGGGCCCAAGCTACGCCTGCCTCTTTGTAGGTTACGTGGAACAATCCCTCTTCCGTACCTACACTGGCCCTAAACCCCACCTCTTCCTCCGTTACATTGATGACTGTATCGGCGCCGCCTCGTGCTTCCACGAGGAGCTCGAACAGTTCATCCACTTCACCAACACCTTCCACCCCAACCTTAAGTTCACCTGGACCATCTCTAATTCCTCTCTCTCCTTCCTGGACCTCTCTGTCTCCATCTCGGGCAACCACCCAGAAACCGATATCCATTTCAAGCCCACCGACTCCCACAGTTATCTAGAATACTCCTCCTCCCACCCACCTTCCTGCAAAAATGCCATCCCCTATTCCCAATTCCTTCGCCTCCGCCGCATCTGCTCCCAGGATGAGGCATTCCACTCCCGTACATCTCAGATGTCCTCGTTTTTCAAGGACCGCAACTTCCCCTCCTCAGTGGTCGAGAACGCCCTCAACCGTGTCTCCCACATTTCCCACAACTCATCCCTCACACCCCGTCCACGCAATAACAACCAAAAAAGAA